AGAATCAATTCCGATCTCCCAGCCAACACAATGCTTCTCACAGAAACAATGGGATGCGGAATGAATGCGTGCAGAGGAAGGCTGGGTACATTTGTCCTCTGGTGCAACTACAAACAAGTGGTCCAACTTGAGGCCACGTTTTAACCATCTGAGTGCTGTGTAACACATTGCACGAAATTCTAGAATACATCAGGTTAGGTGAGAAAGGCATCCTATGGGAATTAAAAGGTTTTTTTTTGTTATCCTCCCACCATCCTGATGTTAGATTTTGAATGTGTTTTCAGTAATCAGATGTCATTATGAGGTTGTGCATATATTGTATATCTGCTCTGCATTGCACTGGAGAAAAATATATTGACATCGTGATGCATCTGCAGAAGGTACCCATGACTTTTTGCATAACTACATGGCAAATGCAAACACCAACATTCTTCTGTGTGGAAGCATATAAGATGTAACTCTGGCTGTGCCCATAAAATGCATGAAGATGATGTCAAATTCGTGAGAGGATTAAACCAGTGAGAGACATGCTACATGTTAGTTTGCTGTTAAATATTATGACACTACCATGTATCTAAAGAGTGACATAGTTCCTGTACTCCAATTGAGTACCTCCACCAGGTCAGCTTCGTAGCTGTTATTAGGGACCCTGGAATGCTTCAACCCCAGTCGCCGAAGCTTGACTGGGGTTACTAAGAACTTATTCCATCCTGCACCATGCTACAGCTCTCGCCTTCCAGGCAAATATCATCCCCTCTGTCTCTGCTGTTCCTCTCCCAGGCAGATATCACACCTCTGCCTACAGTGTCTCCAGCTACCACCTTTATAAAGGCACTTTTAGCTGTATACAGACCATTGGAATACAGCTATTAACCTAAAGAGAAAAAATACCAGTTCTGTCATGTAAATCCTATATAGAATATAAATTGTTTGCACACACATTCTTGTGGTATAAAAATTGCTCTCAAGTGCCTCCCCCAATAGTAGTGGGAGGGAGAGGTGGGCAAAGCCTCCTTGCCTCTTCTGGACTGCCAATCCAAGGACTCAATTCCATGTGTGAGGAAGGTGGATAAAATATTTAATTCATTTCTTCCAGCAATGAAAAACATAATCATTAAAAAAAAATAAACCAAAAACAGGTCCAACGCATTTCGCTCTAATAGAACCCCCCTGGGGGAGAACTCTGGGAGGGAGGTGGTTAGGCTGGGTGTTTTGTTTTTTTGTTGGCATTGATTGTATTTTGTTTGATGTGAATTACATTTTACTGGTCCCTGAGGAAGTTTTACTATTAGAACAAAATGCGTTTGATCTGTTTGTTTGTGGGGTTTTTTTATTGATTTTTTTATGCTGACAGCTATTGGTAATGGTAGACTATGTCACAATTGGCAACGGTTTACCTGCAAATTTTGTGCAAGCAAAATTCATAGTTAATGGTCTTAGCCATGCAGATGTATTGGGCAAGGGTGAAATCTGGTGTACATTTTCTATACGTCAGAATCCAGGCATAATGTTCCAGTCTGAATTCCCCTGAGTGTCCTCCATTATTTTTGCTCACCTAGAGCTGGCTTTCAATCCTTACAAAGTATAATCTTTCATATAATATTACGAATGGAAGGACTTCACAACTACCTATTTCTTTTGACCTATTTCTTTTTGCCATCCTCTATATAATCGTATAAAACTTACTACAATATAATGGACCTCTTTTGTTGTCATATACAATACAGCAACAGTGACAATTTTCTCAAACGTATCTGACTTTTAAGGGTTACTTAAAGCACCACAACCAGTTCATTTGGAAACGTTGAACCAACTTAAAGGCCTTTGCTGCGGGGGCCTGTGAACATGCCACCCAAGTCCCCCACTCAGCCTGTCCTCAGTGCCATTCATCCTCCTGCAGTGAGGGGAAGGATCCCACTGCCGGGAGAACTTGGTCTTGGCGATTAATGTGCAAGTAGACAGGCCAGCTTAGATATGGACAGCGCGGCTCATTAGTGGATGGAATTGGAGGGGGAGGAGGGAGTGGAACAACGTTTCAGTCCCATGACCTTCTTCAGGCATGTGACCAAGATGTTGCTCAATTTTTAACATACTTGGTGCTGCACAAAAACTCTGCAACAAAGTTTTGTGCTGGAGATTTTGTTATATGACTCTCCATCTGTTTTCAGACTATAGTTGCCATTTTTAAACAATACATCCTTTCAGTATCTATTGCTTTAGAGAAGTTGTGATCCAACAGTATCGCAAGGAGAGCATCTTAGCCATAATAAATCATTACCATGATATTCAAAATGTGCATCACCTTTGTTTTCTACTGCAGAAGTAAAACTGCACAACTTATTCACAAAACATTCTGAGCCAGGAACTCACCAGGAGAAAATCCAGTTAGTCATGATTCATACAGAAAGCTTTTTTTTTTTCCCCCCTCTTCTTCTGCTCGCGTTCTGCTAAGGATGAAAGTCTGCCAAAGGGATACAGGAAAATATGCAACAAATATTTGGGATTTTCTTTGAAAAGCACACATGCAGAGGGAGCGGGGCAGTGAATGCACATTTCATAAGTAGGCATAAGATAGAAACCTCATTCTCACCCAGATGTTTTTGGGTTGCTTTATTAAAAAAAGAATGTCCAACCTTATGGTCAATAAAATGTAAATCAATCCAAGTTACACGGTATACTGTAATGTAGAACCTGGTTCTGGATTCAAAGATTAAGATCTTAAGGATAAAAAAAAGACCTTAGAAAGCAGTAGACACAGAGCCTGGGAAAAAAAAAAAAAGTTCTGCTGGAAAATTCAGATTTCAGTTTTCTGGCTGTTCCACAATGTTCTGCCTTTGGCAGCTCCTTTGTTTAAACCTCCATTGGGGCCAACTCCAAGTCAGTCTGTTTCACCTTAAACTGAAAACTCAATTTAAGATGCAATGTCAGCCTGCAGGAAGAGAATTTAAATCAGCTCCCCTCTGCACTTTTAAGACTCTTTTTCAGGCCAATATAAATGTGACCTGTGGTATCTGATGTGCTCTATAGTCATTTCAAGACATGGGCATAAAACATTAAATAAAAATTATATATAGATGTATATGACCCAGTGGTTGTATAGTTATTCTTACATTATATTGTTTTAATTTGTTTCCTCTGCTCAGTTTTAGCTCTTTATAGCTCCTTTTTCAAATAAGGCTCAGTATCAGTAGAATACTTGTTGCCTGATTAGCATGTTTTTTCTAACACTTCACCTATCTCCCTATGAAACATACAATGTGACGGCAGATAAGAACCATTCGGCCCATCTAGTATGCCCTATTTTCTAAATACTGTGGAAATCCTTTCCAGGAGAGTTGAAGCAGTTATAGCTGCGAGGGGGGACGACGACCAACTACATCGTATTATCTATGTATTTACAATGCAATGTCACGAAAGTCCCTGTAGGTGTAATGGTCAGGTGTCCCAATACTTTTGTCCATATAGTGTAGATATTTTTAGCAGACAACAGTGGTAATCAAACTGAACATTTTAGATGTGGCAAAAGAGTTTCTGAAGCAAAGCACTGAGGTTATAACATAAAAAGATCACAGCCATTTACAGGACATTGCATGCATGAAATTCGCATTTAAGACAAGATCTACTCCAAAGGAGTTACCCTATGACAACATCCATCTGTGCAGCAGGTAGAGTGTCCCGATTATGCAGTCATGTGAAAAGAGAGTGTTCTGTCCAACTCATCCCCCCCCCCCCATTATCATAACAAGTAAACATACTAATAAAACATTGTCATTTTTCCTTTAAAAAAATTCCCCAGAAGAGCACACTGGACTATTCCTGCTAAATAAATAAGATCGTGCAGAGCAGCACACCTCACCAATACACAAATACAAAATGACCCCTTATGGGTCTAGCCAAACAATGAACTCCCCAATGCAAACTATAATAAATAATATGTAAGGAGGCACACCATGGATCTCAAATCCAAGCCCCACCCCCCCATGTTCATGAAACAGATAGCCACAGAATTACAGGAGTTGTATTTCAGTAACAGGCGGCAGAGTTTGAAAATATACTTCAAAAATACTTACTGTAGTACAGCTAGTGTCTTTATCTCACATTATTTAATTACCGGTAGATTAGTATCCACTGATGCCAGTGTGCAGCAACCTAGGTATTCTCACATTTAGGTCAATACTAAGAGAAGTAATTTTGTCACTTCTGCAGCACTACAAAATCCCTTTAACACTCCTGTCACTGGAATGTGTTCTTGTATATTTTATCATTTATTTTTATGTTTGAGAAACTTTTTCCGGTTTTGATGAATGATAATCTTGTGTGTTTCAGAATCCGAGAATTTCACACTTCCAAAACAGCATACACTGTACTTAATTCAGCCCCTCTCCCTTTAGTGAAATGTCTGTGAGGACATCGGGATAACAAAGCATGTATCCTTTAGAAGAAATGCTAAAGTAATGTCTGACGTCCAGTAGTGTAAGGTCTACGAAATTGGCATCTGGCATTGGTAAACTGCCAAGCTTTTATTTATTCATATATGTTTTCAACCTGACATTTTGCCCTTACACAATAATGTGTTCAAAATGGGAAAAAAATATCTTTATTTTTAAGAGATGTGCAAAAACAAGCCATAAATAATAAAAGTATAAAAATAGGTCTTTACAGAAACCACACACAAAAATCATACACACACACACTCATCTGTATAGAAACATAGATAACATATATAAACTGCAGTATATACACAAACTTGGGTCAATGTATCAATAAATATTTCACTTGCGTTTAGAGAAGGCTGCCCAAAAGGTAGATCCCAGATGTCATAAAACTACAACTCCCACGATGCTTACCATGCCTTTAGAATGACAAAGCATCATGGAAGCTGGAGATTAAAAACATCTAGGGATCTACCCTTTGGCACCCCTGGTTTAAAGCATCAAAACTTCTCATTTCTTATCCATGAGGAACTACAAAGTCACCCAAATTCACTTGATCAATCAACACTAGGACAATCTAGAAAACGGGCTATCAAACCCACTGTCTTGCTGGGGGGACACATAGCTCTGGAATAATTTCCTTGAAGGCAGTTTGTTTTCACGACCTACATCTGAATACAGCTTTGGATCAGCACAGTTTTTCACAGCTGCAAGATGGAGTCCAACATTTTTATTAGGATGCTGTGTACGAACAGGCTGATCTTTTTGTTTTACAGCCCGTGCAAAGTAATTCTGAACTTCAGATACGCTGCCAGAGGGATCACGACTTCCTTGTGCAAGAGAACTCAAACCTACTGCAGGAACACATTCTGGATTATTGCTGTTCTGTTGCTGTGTTTTAAGGCTGTTTGATGAGTACATTGCAGACTGTAACGGAACCAGACGTTTATCACCAACACAGCTCCAGTCATTACTTGCATTTTCATCCCGCACAGGTGTTTCCTGAAGGTCAAACCTCTGCTTATCTGATTTGGCATTTAAATCACCACCACCACAATTGTAATTTTTAAGACCTTGTAAAAAAGTTGGTTCACCTTTACCGTGAAATGCCACATGCTCAGACTGAGATTTTGAATCAACACAGCCAAATCCCTTGGTATTTTCCAAAGATGTCTGGGTGGGAAACTGAGAAGTCACAGAATATAACGTACGTGAGTTAGTAACGTTAATGTCTGGATAATCGTCTGTAAGTTGCTTTGGAGAGAAGTAGTCATTTCTTGGGGGAGCTAATTCTTCGTAAAGTGGTTTGCTTCCTTCAGATTTCTCTCTCTTGTGCCTCTTAATTAACTCATCCATGGTGTTTTGTTCTATGTTTTGATCCATTTGTCTGTTACTTGTCCATGGATGTGTAGTCTGCAGTGAACCATCTTTATCTTGTTCAGTCGCAGGCAAGTCACCGTTTGCAAGCATCATTGCTATTGAAAATGGATAGACAAGTCATATTAATAGATCATTTTACGTCACAATAAACATCCCTTTAGGAAAAATACATTGATATCTTTCTGAAGCATTGGTGAGATCATCAAGTAAGCAGGGTTTATGGGTAGAGAAAAGAATTCTGAGGACTGCGGTTAACAGCATTGGTAGCAGCTTAGTCGAGCATTCTCAGCCAACCACTGCTGTCCAACTTAGGAAATTATGGCTACCACAGTGTCTCTGCAACCGACAGCGTTCATGAACATACCCATGTACGGATATATAGCTGCTTTTTATTTAACACTGAATGCAAAACTATATAAAGGAAAAAATGTAAAAGAAAAAATATATAGAAATTGCGGTTTAGAGGAACTTAAATAAAACAAGGTACATAAACTGAAGGTCTGTGTTTTATTTGAAACAATTTTTTTCAGAAATATTAGCAGAAAGCAAATTAGCAATAAAATGGCATTGTGTGCCTTTTAATGATCCTAAAATATGCAATAAATGTAAAAACACATTTATTTAAGAACATACCAGTTGCGTGTCAGAGTCAATAAAAATGATAAAATACCAGAGTCACAGTGCAAAACCATTCACTGTGCTAATATCTTACAGATTTCCAAGAAGTCATCATCATGTATAAGTGGGTAGGACATATGCATACAGTCGCCTTCACGAAAAAAAAAAAAAAAAAAAAAAATTGTATGGGGCACACATAAGCCCTGTTCCGGACAGTTATCTAACCCTCCCCCTTTACCATCAGCTTCTCTTTCATGTACAAAGAGACAGCGGAGATTTCCTAATGTGTGGCTTAGTAGGACAGCATCTGTATCCTGTGTCCAAGCTTGAGAAGCAGACCAGAGCAAAGGAAGGAATTATGGAGCATTGAGGACAGTACATTCCCATTTTATATTGATCTCACTTTCAGTTTGGGCATAAAACCAAGCCTGTGTACACATGGGATTGGGGATAGTCAGCAATGACTTCTGCCACCAATATATGGTGTTAAAATTAAAATGTTTAAAAGAGAATGACTCGAAGTAAAAGGTTAAAGCCATAGTGGCTAAAGATCAGCATTATTACAGGGCCAAAAAAAACAAAACAAAAAAAAAACACCACACAACACAAGGTGACTATCCCCCTTGCAGGCTCTGAATTTACATTATTCAGCCAACCTTCCTAATAACTATAGCGCTGGGTACAGTCCCAGGTGTAAGGAAGTGTCTTTACAAATATTAGCATGAGTACAAATTTTGCAGGTGTCTTCCTCAAACAGAAAGACTATACCTAACCAAACAAAATGTATGTGCACTCTATTTATAGTAGAACATTGATAACTGAACTACAATTCCCACAAACCCTTTCAGTGCCTGAATTAATGGAATGAGCTTAGTTATTACAATAGAAATGTATCACGATTGGCAGGCAGAGCTCACTGTAGATATTGCAGAGCTTAGAAATTTTTTTTTTATTATTATTATTACTACTATTTATTATTAATTTTTTTTTTTTATGTACAGCAAATGCCAGACCGTCAAACTATCCCACAGAGAATGACAACAATACATAACTAAAACACACTTGTTGTCTTTCACTAAAGTGAGAATTGCCAGGGATTCAAAGTAAATTTAAAATTTAAGGCGAATAGTCTAATCAGAAAAAATCTCCGGTTCAGCTATGGTTCTCAGTTGAGCGACTTTAGCTATAAAAATGTAATCCACTATGAATACCCCAGCTATTCTTATTTTAGTACAAAACCCTGACTATACTGTCGAATTTCAAAACGAAAAAGGAGATCTACATAGAAACAGAGCATCAGGGTTTGCAAGATTTGAGGTGCTTGATAAGATGAATTGCCCATACCTGTTCGCATATTTTTGCTCTGACATTTTTGGGAGATGGGGGTTTCTAGAACTTTGGCCATAGTGGCGAGTTTGCTTGCAGCGTTCATGATTTTCTTTTCAGCACTGTCAAAAAAATGGAAATAGCTGCTGACTAAATGATGGCAAACGTGTCATCACACAATTTCAAAAAAAAAAAAAACTAAAAAAAATACAAAACTGTGAAATGTAATACAATTGCATCAAATGCACCAATTGAACATTTTCAAAAGGAAATTGTGACATAATTTAACCTCAGAAAGGCAGAGTTTTACATTTGTATAAAAGAAAACTAACAATATAAGAAATAGCGGTTTTCATGATTAATTTAAAAATGCCTTTACTTCGAAACACAGCGAGTCCTTTTTATAATGAAATGATATGAATAATAAAAGCGGCTATTGTGTTGTACAACACTTACCCCTCATTTTTTCCATCATCTTTCAGTAGCTGCTGCAGGCAGGTCAGGTAATATTTGCGCATTTTCCGAGCAGTTTCTTGGCGTTCTCGTAAGACCTCATATTTCAGCATTTCGGCTGCCCTTCCCTTACTTTCATGAATGTAACGAAGCATATCATCTATTTAATTAAAGTATTAAAATAATAAGTAATTCAAACCACCTACTGCAGTATAGATTCAATATGGTTATTTGAGGTATAATGATATATTTGTATTAACACAGTTTAAGATGGTTTGCTGTGTGTGAAACACAATCTAATCTTTTATATCTGAAAATACAATTTCTAACAACCTTGCTGCGATTTACATGTCCAAGACACTAATTCCTGTACCGAACACCTAGCAATTGGTATGTAAAAAAACAACAACATTATTAAATTTCATAGAGACATATATATTAAAGGACCACTATAGTGCCAGGAAAACACATACTCGTCTTCCTGGCACTATAGTGCCCAGAAGGTGCCCCCACCCTCAGGGTCCCACTCCCGTGGTGCGGAGGGTGGAGGAAGGGGTTGAACTTACCTCTTTCTCCAGTGCCGGGCGGGGAGCTCTCCTCCTCCTCTTTGGCTGAATGCGCATGCGCGGCAGGAGCTGCACGTGCAGCCAGTCTCATAGGAAAGCATTTACAATGCTTTCCTATGGACGCTGGCGTCTTCTCACTGTGAATTTCACAGTGAGAAGCACGCAAGCGTCTCTAGCGGCTGTCAAGAGACAGCCACTAGAGGCTGGATTAACCCTAATATAAACATAGCAGTTTCTCTAGCAAGACCTGGCACCCAGACCACTTCATTAAACTGAAGTGGTCTGGGTGCCTATAGTGGTCCTTTAAAGGATATCTCAAATACAAAATCTGAAGCAGACTGATTTTGCTTAAGTATTTGTTTAACTATTTTGACTTCAGGGCAATTGCTGTAAATTTGTAAAATAAAAAAATAAAAAAACTCTTCAAAGATGTTTATGGACTAAAACGAAAAAGGTATACACTGCTTTCATCATCGTAGGTTCAAGACTATGTGTGGTATAGCATGCTGCCAGTAGCATATGCTTTTTGCAATGTGGAACACATACCAAAAGCTCCATTGCAAAGTAGCTCTGCAGAAAGTGCAGAATACAAAACTGGAGCTATCTTCGAAAACAGGATTTCAAAAAGGTAGATCCCCTGTTGTAAAAGAACTATCACTGACACGATGCTTTGCACTGTGTGTATTGCAGATCAACAACTCAGGATCCACCTTTTGCAAAGTTTGCTATACAAAATATATTTAAATAATAAAAAAATATATATGTGTAAAGTGAAGAAAAAGCATTTGAAAAGAAAAGTCAGTCATACTACTTACTTCTAATTTTGTCGACAGCTTTGATGTACTGAGCACGCATTTCTTCTAAGGCATTTCCTCTGCAAAGAGCACAGCCATTTCCAGAACCCGCTTCTGGCTGAAAACTAAAATGACAAAACACAAATATAAGAGATAACTTTAGGGGAAAAGAATTGGAGGAAATCTGTTTGACTGAACTTAAATGCACATTGCAACAGTTGTATGATCCACGCCTTGCCCACAAATGTTCTCCGTCTCACACCTGTGTGGATACACCAGCCTTGCAGAGCCAAAGATAACCATCACTCTTCTGTAGTGTTACATCACTGTTTTAAAGAAACGGTCTCTTCAAGGAATAAACCTGGCTGTTGTGGTTATTGTGCCTGAAGTGTTTTTTTAAAAGGACTTCATTCTTAAATAAAAACAGCCTGTTGCTTAAAAAGATCATATGAAGGGGATAATACTTTATATTATGTAAAACTTAAAAAAAAAAAAAAAGCACAACCAGCATAAATGCTAAGCTCTTCAATTTACGTCAGCTGTCATTTATGGACAGCTGACATCAAAGGAATAAACACACTAAATAGATGCCTAGAGCAGCAATGCACACGAGTAGGAGAACGAGGAAGCCATCTCACAGGAACTAACAGAAGCTCCTTCTAATTCCTGGGAACATGAGGCTGCTCGTACCTGCGGCAGCAATTTTTTTTTTTATTTTAGACAATTTTTAAACTGCTTTAATGTCTTCCCCAAGTCTCTTTTGGATATCACGTGTGTTTTTCTCTTTAGCTTTGACATTTCAGAACGGTCCATGCATGCCTAATTTGAATATATAGGGAAAGAAACCCTAAAATGTTAGCTTCTTAATGCTCTATGACCCAGTGGTTACATCTAATTCAAAGATGATTAAATAGGTATTTACCTGGTCTGTGTCTTTGTGGTTTTCATTTCTTCTTCAAGCTTTTGGTGTAATTTGGTGTTTTCTTGCTTTAATTTGTCTGCGATTGTTTCATTTTCTGACAGTAAAAAGCATAACATTTGTATAATGTGTTTCAGATTTTTTTTTTTTTTTACAAGTTCAATCCTGTTTTGAAAAGGAATAATTTCTGTTACATGTACCGATAACCCTATACAAATTCTTATGACATGGTTTGCAAATACAACCAATGCCAGCAGTTTGCAACACTCATAACTAACAAATGTAAATCTGCTCTAATGACAAGATAGCCACATTTTATATAGCGATAATATTTTAACACTATCAGCCCCCTACCTTTGATTTTCTCTGCTTTGAGCTTCTGCTCTTTCACAGCTTGCTGAAGGTGCCGACAAGCTTTGTCGAGTTTGCTGCGCAGTTCGTGACACTCTTTCTTTAATTTCTCAATCTGACGCAAACAATAATCACAGCGTGAACAGTCGTGGGTGTCATCTTTTCTTTTAACAGTGTCACCGTTTCTGACACTGGTTTGAAAGCTGCCTGCGGGATATGAAGATTTGAGATAATTAATTGTGCTTGTATTTTGTATTAAAACACTATAATTTACATTTAGCAGAACACAAGTTGACACCATTTTCAACAGCTGGCAATTTCTTATTTTTTCATATTAGCCTAGATAGCTAGAATATAGCAGGTCATAACATTTTAGTACGTTAAAAGTTTTGATCTCTATAGTGTCCCTTTAAAGTACTGTGACATTCTAGATTTAACTCTGGTATTCCCATAAGTTCATGCTTACTGCCAGGAATATAGATTATTCTTTATACTTGCTACAGTTTTATATTCCTGATCAATCACTATAGCAGCATTATGATTCTACCCCTCTTTTATGGGATTAGGAGTACTATTTATAATAGCAAGAGTTCTGTATCTAGTTCTGCTGCTGTAAGTGGGAGTAGCAGCCCTTTCATAATGCTGCAATAGCGATTGATCAGGAAAAGAAAATGCAGCAAGGATGGAACGAATGTTCTTTATCTGTAAAATAGCACACACACACACTCCCTCGTCAAGCCCTTATGTACATCTTAAACATGAAATAAAAATAAATATACCATTGCTTGAATAGTCCAAATGGTTCTTCTTTGTAGTTTTATGCATGCCGCTGTATGGAATGCTGGACCTTTCCTGCTCACTTGATTGGACGCTGAGGTCATGATTTGTCTGTGCTGCATCAAGTTTCTGGAATCGAGGTAAATAGTTACTGAATTGATACATCACGTGGGATATCAACTGACTGTTAAGAGAGTCATTTTCTATCATTTACATTACTGGAAAATACACATAATATGTTTAATATATTCTTTGTATACACTTTTGCAACCTCAAATTAAAGTCACGCGTTGGCCATTTACATTACACTAGTGGAGTCACACAGGTGTTAACCCCTTAAGGACACAACTTCAGAAATAAAAGGGAATCATGACTGAATATTTCCGTCATGTGTCCTTAAGGTTTTAACTGGTCTATGCAAGGAATTACAGATTTCAGAGTGCAGTATCCCAAATAGGATTAGTAAATGGCAGAGAACCACAACAATCCCTCTCTCATCAAAGCAGCAATTTTATTTAACATACAGCCAGACCGGTTACGAGCCTGTTAGATGGCTGCACAGCTTCTAATGGGACACTTTCAGGTTCCTAGAATCCCTGTGAGCATAGATCACATGACCAGATATACAGTAACTAGGCCACGAGCATGGAGTTGTGCCTCTCACAGTACTGTATATAGCTTCCCTTGTGGTCCATGCTATAATAATGCAGGGCAGCTGCATGAGGTTGTCTTTTAGCACCTACATCAAGCAGCGTGCAGGGGAGTTATGCTAATCAAAACTAGAGGAAGCACAGGTTTGGGTACTGCCCAATACTGCAAAGGCCGACAAATTAGAAGGTAGCTTATAATAAAAATAAAATTCAAATAGGAAGGAGATGAGACAGCAATGGAAATAGATATGATTAGAGCCACTGTAGGTAAGACCACCAGCTGATGGGGGTGGTCATAAGCAACATGTACAAGTTGTGCGACAAGTGACATGAGGAAAGAGTGCAGATGACATTTCAGGAAGTTGATATGAAGAAAGTGATGAGGAGAAGGGAAAGCTGACCCTGAACAGATACAGTGCAGTATGCGTTTCCCACATGTCAGACCAATTATGCTTTATTAAAGGTAATTACCTGATTCCATTCTTGCTTCGCATTTGTCAGAACTTTGTAGAAAATACCCTTTATGGCTCTCTGGAGGCACGATCTTAGCTTATCAACAAATGGGAAGTCTGAACTGTTCAACCCACTCAATCTGCCCTTCTCTAAACGTTTATCCAACATTTCATCATGGATTTCAGCCAAAATTAGTTCAGTTTCTGATAAGATCTTATTCTCATGGTCATGCAATCTCTGGGAGGTTTCAGCAGCCCATTGTTTTAAGCTCTGATTTAATTGTTCTTTCATTTCAGCCTCTTTTTGAGCAATCAGCTCAGCCTTCTGGTTTTCAAAATCTGCTTTAGCCCCAGAGAGAACCTCATTGATTTTAGTGCGATGAGAGTCTAAAAATGCCCGGTAATCATCTTCATTACGGGCCTGAACGTTTTGCATTTCTTCCTGCTTTTCTTTATTCCACTGAGTGCGTGCCTTTGCCAGTTCAGCTTTTAACAGCGCCTGATATTCTTCATTCTTTTGTTCCAAATCCTTTTGGGTCAACGCAAGCTTCTCTTCGTATTCTTTTTGTTTTAAGCTAAAGTCATCCTTTTCAGCTTTTGTCCTCCAATTTTCTTCAGCTGCAGCCACAGCCTCCAATATCTAAAGAATGAAAAATATATTTTTTTTTGATTCCTGTAAATGCTGACCATATTTCTAATCAGTCACCAGAAATAAAAATGTGTGTGTTTGTGTATATATATATATATATATATATATATATATATATATATATATATATATATATATATATATATATATATATATATATATATATATATTTTATGTTACCAGTACAATAAAAGGACATTTTTAAAGATGAGATGATGTAGACATCGGTGGTACCCATAAAGTCATACATTTTCCGATGCAGCGGTACACGTCCCTGATGTTTTGCTCCCACAGTGTAAAACATAGCTATTTCTGAGATCCGGAAATGTTTACACGGCGGGTCTAAACACACACCTCCAGCTTCTAACTCACCCTGACAGCAACTAGATGGTGCTTTTACTTCCAGAACTAAATCAAACCCAAAATGTGCTACACATTCACAATCCTTCTCTGTGAGAAACATTTGATTAGACAAAATCATCAAGCCTGATGCATCAGCAGAGACTGATCAGGCTGCAGAGAAGAGGCGGTCTCCACATTGGATTACAAGTGAGTAAAGTGTTAATTGAGGAGTTTTTTTTTTCTTCTTCTTCTTCTTCTTAAAAGGGGGGGGTGGGGAGTCCCTAAATCTAAAAGAACTCCTCAAACTATTTGTGTCACCAAAAAAAAAAAAAGTTTTTGGGGATAGTGTTCCTTTAAATATTTTGCTTCTGTTAACAAAAAAACAAAAAAAATACATAAAAAAAGGGAACTGTATGAGAGCTCAAACAGAAGAACAATAAAATAAATGTAGTTGGAGCAAACTAACATACAGTGAAAGTGTAGCTCCTCCCATCACATTTACAATGATGACTTCATGACTTCAGACTATATGTGGTGCCCATAACAAGCTATAGATCTAAATATAAAAATATGGGCATTCTACGCATGGTTATTTATATATAGAATTAGTATGTATAGTTTATAAACAAGTTTTGCAGAAAAAAAAAACTAAAAAACACAACAAACAATGGCAGTGCAGATTTTATTATAGTGAATTACCTGTTTTTTTACTTGAAGCTCATGGAGCTGCTCCCATTTCTCCTGTTCCAATTTAAGGTTGGTCTTATATTCCGTCAAGGTAGTGAGTTCTTGTAGCCACCGAGTACGAGCTTTTGTTAGAGCCAATTCCACCTAATAAAAAAGATCAAAAACAGTATTTAAATGCCATGATTAAAAATTAGAACACTAATATTTATTTTTAAATCAATTATTTAGTGTCCAAAAATATAATTTAAAAATAAAACAAAACAACATTGAAGCTATTTACTAAACTGGAGAAAGAAAAAAAAGATTATATATATATATATATATATATATAAAAAAAATATATATAATAAAAAATAAAAAAAAATCATCTACACTTTGACCCCTTCCCCCTCGTTGAGTTTTTACTTGACTATTTCACTAAACTCAGACTAACTCACAGTGATTAAGCAAGTCAAAGCATTCAGAGATGCAGGGTGAAACAGTGACTAACAAAACAATGTTACACCACAGGGGAACACTTGGAGTAATCAAATAACATCCATATCAAGTACCTGCTTGGAAATATCCTCATGATATTGTGATTCAAGTTCCCTGCGAGCTTCACGGACAGCTCTGTCTTTGTCTTCTAGAGCTTCCTGTAGTTTAACCTCTAACTCCAACACGTTTTTGGTACTTGGCGTCTGCTCTGTCTGAACAGAATTCTCAACTACTTTTTGCATCACCTTTGATTTGGCATCTTTTAAAGCTTGATCAAGTTTGTGCTGCCATTCCTTTTCAACATCCCGAATAGCACACTCAGTAATCTATCAAAGAAAATAGTAGATAGTGTTTTGTAGACAGAAAGAAACGTCTAATATATTTTATGCATATGCATAGACTAAGAGTGTATGCGGATTTTTAATCCAGTATACACAAAAATGGGTGTCAGTTTATCATATAATTTAATATATCGTTCAGTTTGCTAATTTTCACTAATATAAAGAACGATAAGGCAACATTAATGTATTTATTTAAATATACATTTTTGGTTTTATCCATCCCTGCTCATCTCAGTGAAATGGTGTAAGCAGATATGATTTTTCAAAATTCTCTGCTATCGCCAATAGTATTGCCAATTGGAAGTATGCGGGGAATCATTGGAACACGATTATCAATATGTCAGTGCCCGCTACACATTTTATACATGCATCAAATCATGGTTTCATTGTATGATGCATTAGGTTTAAAAAGGTCTAAACACCTTACAGAAAACCATTTTTCCCCTTAAATCAGAATATCTAGCTGGATAACGGTACAAAATAAATAAGCCTGTCAACGTATACCCATCCATCTGGTGATCTACATATGAAGACAGAACTCCCAGTTTCCCCACATAAACCTTGCGGTTTAGGCTGTGTTTGGCCAATATTATTCAAACCCCATACCCCTCTCCTTTTTTGTTTCAACTCTTTTGCTCTTTATTTTTTTTTCTTGTGATTCTAGACTCCCATCTTCATTATTATTAGGGATCAGGACTCTAGATATCAGACTTTTATCTATCTGGAACACGTGACTGTCTCATATTGCTCTCACATAGCAGGGATTCCTATTACACATGCTTTGGTCGTTTTACATAACTCTTTGTAATGAGTTTAATCATGGTTAGATATGCTGCAAAATGCTTAATATTTACTGAAATGCATTGAGTAAATAACTAGTCACTAGTTTAACCTAGCACTAGTTGAGTACACAAGTCTTTCATGCCAAGGGTTAGCCAAGTACATTTTAATCATCACAGTGCCAACAGGTTTCATGTCATTAAGTAATGTACCTGCTGCTGTTCCTTAATCCAGTTTTCTTTTATGATTGCAATATGTTGCTTCAGTTCAAGTTCTTTTTCTCTCTGCCACTGAGCCTTGGCCTCAGACAGAGCAGCTTGATGTTGATGGTCTAGCTGGGATTTTAGAGACTGCATAGCCTTTTCGGATTCCTTCTGCAATGTATCTTTGAACTGGGAAAACCAAACAAACCACCAAATTGCAAAATAAATATGTATATTTTTATGTAAGGTATATGTTTACGTATGAAATACACTACATAATTTGCAAATATGCAGGACAACTATCCAAATTACTATAAGTAGATTCATCTCAACCATATACAGACTTGAGTGTACATGCACCCTACACCTAAGTAGGGTGGAAGAGATGGACTGATATTACAAACTTTCTCTAGATATCTATGCATACACACACACAAACACATGCATTTATACATAGCTCCAAAGTGTCCCTGTTTAGGAGGGGCAGTCCCTATTTTTTGTCTCAAATACCTCTGTTCCTCTTTTCTACCCCAATGTCTCTCTTTTCAAGAAGCTCCATATTGTTGGTGTGTCTGAGTGTTTAACAGAGCTTCCAGTAATGTGTTTAGAAATCAGTATGTGTAAATAAAACGCATGATTGTAAATTACATTTCAGTTGCATAAACGTATTCGTAAATCACCTAAAATTTCTCAGAACAGCCTCACCCCCATGGCCACACTCTACTCACATCCCTAAAATGAGAGTGCCTCACAGTCCATTTGAAATGTTGGGAGGTAAGAATTCTAAAACCATAGAAATATTACAATTGCATTCTGAAATGTCTGGTAAGGAAACATTTATAAAAAGTTACAAAACTCCCCTTCAGTTTAAAAAAATAAATAAATAAAGCGAAACACGCTGCTGGTCTATACAGCTTAGGCCAACATTTGCATGTGGCTCTTTCTAAGCATCCAAAACATTTATAATGCAATTCTACTGGATGCTGGGAAAAATCATAGCCAGGGACAGTGTTGAATGTGAGGAAAAATTAAATAAAATAAGAGATTTTATTTGTTTTACATTGATTCCAAATGTACCTTTTCTTCTTCTATATTCAGTTCTGCTTTCATGCTCTCTCGTATTGTATCCTCCACAGAATCCTTCTCTTTACACACGGCTATATAACACTCCTGTATGGCAGTCATCTCTCGAGTCATTTCATCAATTTGGGAGCTAAAAAAAAAAAAAAAAAAAAATGTTAAAGAAATTCAAACATTCTAAGGCTCTATAAAAGATTACAGTGAAGGGGATTTAAAGCGAACGGAAAAACAAAACACTTAACAATAATTACGTATTATGCAAGTATTCCACTTTCCCCCCCCCCCATTTAAATTAGGAATTAAATAGATTCTAAGAGATATATACATGTAGATGTAGAGTCATAATCACAGATGTCTGAGCTGGTATTTTTGTTTCCAGCAATGAGAGAATAAAATAAAAAATAAAAAAAATACAGAAACCCTTACTGTAACCGTAAAAGGTTTTCCTCATAACTTTGGCATAATTGCTCCTTTTCTGAAGTAAACCTCTCCGAAATCTCCATTTGCAAATGTTTCCTAATATCTTCATGGTGTTGTTCATACGTCCTCTCACACCTGTAATGGTACATAAACACTCAACTTAGAAACCATTTTGCAAATAATTATAAATACTTTATGACAAAACTCTTGGCTCAAAAATGAATTACAGTCATGCCTATTTCCAGATGTTTAACATCATTAAAACAAGTGAAAAGCAGAGGTGATAGACACTTCAGGGTTAAATTAAGCTCATTAGCAATCGGGTGAAAGTGACATTTACAGGTTAGAACCTAAAAAAAAAAAAAAAAAAAATGCATATGCTTGGATGAATTATTTGATTTGTTTGAACATCCAAGTGTTCTCTAGTAGATCAGTATTTTAGTAGGGTTGTTCGATAAAATCCATATAGCAAAATGAAGGATAAAAAATGATGAAAAAAACAAACAAATTTTTGCTTCAATTTTGCAATTTACATTTTAATTCAATATGGTTGACTTTCTTAAAAATAAATAAATAAAAATAAAAAAAAAAAACAAAAACAACATGACATGTCTTCCAGACACCATTTGTTATTAAGAATGGCTAACTGCCAAAAACCAGTAATTTGTCACAATTGTGAATTCCCCTATGGTGCAAGGAAGCGTGACCATATGAACATTTTTAACTGCATGATTAATATGCAATAATGGACTCAAACTGACAAATAAGAGGGCTTGTTGAATGGAAACCAAATGTCTGAATCTACAATTCATCAATTTTAAGAAATGAAGAAAACTGTTGTTTTTAATGGGTCTCATCTTGGGAGCTTAAAAAGGCCACTCAAGGCTGGAGCTATAAATGGTACATTGTTTATTATTATTAACAACAATAAAACCTTATATTTAAAAGGTTAGTCCAAGCACCATAACAACTTCAAGTTATTTAAAGTTGATAAAGTGGTTGGAGACTATGTGCATATATATAGCCCTTAGCCGACGGATGGGGAAATCACAAAAACAAGAAAGGATAGATAGAGAATAAGAAGGACCAGTTTTAGCACCAAAGGAAATACAGAACTGAATTTTTAATGTAACAAACACACCTCTATTTTATGGATACAGGTTTTAGATAGAGGTCTCAAATGTTTCCCAAATCACAAAGTAAACAATTTTGAATTATTTATAGACTTACAAAAATATATAGGTAAGCCAACTATAATAATTCATTTCTTAGGCATCATTAGTATGCCCAGAACAGGAGGGGGCTGCCATAATCTCACCAAAAACTATATTTTGTTAAAACACTGATTTTTTGGGTTGGTGTAACCCTTTAACGTTCCTGCATATGCTGCAAATCTCTGCAAATATTCTATAGCACTGCCGAGCTTAATGTTTATGTGAGTTGTAGTTCAGTTGTTAGCTTTCAACTATCAAATGCCAACAGCTAAACCACAACTTCCCGACACCTCATTCGTGATATAATTGTCAACAATATTTTTGGAGCAAAAAAAACAAAAACACAGCGAGCATAAAAGAAAACTATACCCGAATCAACATATTGGAAAAAGAAAAGAAGCAGAGGATACAATGTTGTATATAAACAATGGAATACTAAAGCAAAATGTTATTCAATTAAAACATAACTTATTAAAAGTGTAAATTCCTAAAAAAAAAAAAAAAAAGTCTCATAGGACAGAAGAGACCAACTGCATCACAAAACCAATAGTACTATATACACATACACAGCATAAAATTAAAAATAGCAGAGGCTGGTCCACACCGAAGGAAAAATAGTAAGTGTTCCTAAAAAAGAAACAATAATATAGGTCACTCAATACGTGTCAATTAGACTGTTTGATAACAAGGTGTCAACTGACACTTAATAGTCACTTGCTAGATGGTAAACAGAAATAATTCTGGCTCTTCTATGGCAACTATGTACCACAGTGACTACAGGAATGTAACAAAAGTAACAGCTTCTGTGGTTAGAAGAGTATAAATAACTTATTAAAGTGTCTAACACTGAAGGTAAAAAAATCCTGTAGTAATATCAAATATAGAACAGGGTAGGGTAAAGGGAGAGAGGGATTCACAAAATAACTGTCCCTATTGGACCTTCGACCCCTAAAATGACCCTAGTCTGGAATGCAATACAATCCACCCGCCGCTAAGGGGCTCCGGGACATTGCTGTGTCCACTATGCTGCTTGCAGTTATTTCTGGCTTCTAAGAATTATTCTTTTTCTTTATTTACGTTTTTTGGCATCTCGTTATTTTGCATTAGATTCATTTCTGGAGCGGGTGGATTGCATTCCAGTCTAGGGTTAATTTAGAGGTAAGGAGTGCCCTCGAAGGCACAATAGGGACAGTTATTTTGTGAATCCCTTTTTATTAAAAGTTATGTTTTAATTGAATAATATTTTTCTTTAGTATTCCATTGTTTATATACAACGTTGTATCATCTGCTTCTTTTCTTTTTCCATTTCTCCACAGGGGTTATCCCCCATCTAGGAGGTATACATAGGCAATAATTATTATATATTTTCTCTCTCTTTTCTATTTTTCTTTTTGTAGCGAACCAACATATTGCACCAAAGATCTGTGAATGTCTGGAGTGCCTCTTTAAAAGAAAAGAGTGGTTTGACCAAAGAAAGAACTTCATAATCTATCCAAAACGTTTTTGACTACTAGGTTTTTTTTAAATGGTTAAATATATAAAGGCATGAAATAAAGTGTGTCTACATGTTTTAAGGACTACGGAGGCCAACAACATTGCAGTATCGAACAGACCTCTCTATGGCCTCCTTTTTATCTTTATCAAAGTCCTGGATCATTCCTCTCATTTCGCTGCAGAGTTCTTGATTGGCCGTTTTTATTTTTTCTTCATTTGCTTTATATTCTTGAATACACAACACATATTTCTACAATAACAAAAAAATAAAGATGTAAAAATAAAATGAATGAGAAGGAAACAAGAAAATGAATACAAAAATCTAGCTTTCAAAGAGACACCCTATATCGTAGGCCAGTGAGATAGCACAGTGTGTTAATGCATCATCAGAAGAGTTCAATCCTTGGGGGTAACGGGGGTTAAAATGAGTACTATTAAACTGGGTAATATAACATCCCCTGAATGTTGGGCAAAAAGTAAACATCCCCAGGACGTACTTAGAAACCAGAGAATATCTGAATGTACCTTTCCAGGTCAAATACTTTATTATCATTATATAGGAATAATCATGACTTAATAGTGACTTGTGATATAGCATTCAAATGACCATAAAAGGAGAAGACCTATAGTCTTTTGGAACAACTTTGATGTCTATAAAACCACTTACAGTGCCCACAAAAAAAAAATAGATTATTTAACTGGCAAAAATAAAGGATCCTTAAATATCTAAATGCAATGGGTGGGTGGCACACTGCAGTTATGAGATAGGGAATCTCCAAACATAAGCTAGGCAGGTATCCAATATACACCGTGTGCAATGAACACATTTGTTGCATCTAGGGAGGCATGAAAAGAAGCAAAGTGTAAAAGGATAATGTCTCATATGTAACAGTCCAAAAACATGCAATGGCAGCTGGGTTGATACAGACAAGTATTTTTTATGTAAAATATACATTCATTTTTACCTGATGGTAGTTACCGTATTTCACCGCATAATGGTCGCAGATTTTATACATAATTCCATTCTTTAAAATGGGGGTGCGACCATTATGGAAGCTTTATTTTTTGCAATATTATATATGCAAAGCTTTGGTTTTTTGTTTTTTTTTTGTAACAGTTGCTGATAACATTATAGTTGCCAATAACATAGCACAGCATATTTTCTAATGTATTCTGTAAACTTTGATCCTGATCCCTGTCCTCCTGTCATTTCTTAATGTATTACATAGACAAAATGCACTAAAATACAATAAACTCAAAAGGTAATAAACCCTCTCTTCAGTATAAGATCAGTAGGATATTCGATAGTAGGATAGACAAGTACAAGTTAAATCAGCAGTGGTAATCACAATGTCCAGCACTCAGGACATACCTCAATGTCCTGTTGCAATAGCTGCCTCTCTTTTTGAAGTTTCTGAATTTCCTCCTTGAGAGCCTCGTTTGATGCTTGGCTATATGGGAACGCTGGATCCAACTGCCTCTCCAAGCTACCGGTTCTAATCTAGGCAGACAAGGGAGAGCAAGTCAACAAAAATACACACTGTATGCAACCAACTCATAGTTATCATGTATTCAGGTTTCTCATTTAGAATTCTAAAACAGGGAGACATTCTTTTCTAAATCTAGTCAGAAACATATTATTAATTCTGTAGTACAAAATAGCTGTGACCAATACATACATACAGGGGTACCCTTACATAGGCCTCACTTTAATATTTTTGGGATAAACTTTACAAATACTTTATATATATATATTATTAAATAATCAAAGCATTTAATAAGTTCATGCAAAAATATTAAATAATTTGAACAGGTTATCCAAAAGTATTAAATCTGGGCCACACATGGCTGGCTATGATGAAATACGTCTAAAAACAATCTGTGTGTACACAGAGTAATCATGTAAGTCAAGTTAAGTTAAGAATCTCCATAATGCCCTCAATCATTTTGGATGAAACAATTCGTCTTCTAATAGCCAAGTGTGCTCATGTGTTTATAGTGAGAACTGTATAGAAATATGTAACGGTCTACTTGGCATTATTATTGCCTTTTTAGAGAGTGCCTACATGTTAAACAGCTGTACAGGAGGTGAAGAGGGCCTTTCTCAGACAATTTCTTCGCAGTGTTCAATGGAAACAGAAGTCCGCTTTGACATCACTTCTAGGGTCTCTTAACGCACTTCATATTTAGAGAGTTAATAGAAGAGCTGGCAAGCTGCTTACCTCACAGTCACGAGCATTTCTTTCTGCTTTTTCAAGTGATTTTTTCATTTCTTCAGTTTTTGAATGGGACACTTTCAGCTCTGACTGCAGTAGGATAATCTGCTGCCTTTTTGTCCGGTTACTAGTTAAACAACGTTCAAGTTCACTTTTAAGCTCATTAATAATGTCATCTGTAGAAAAGTCTTTCCTGACACCATTGCCGTGTATAGCCCTGCAGACATAGAAAGAGGAGATTTCATTACACTGAAAAGAGCAATGCCTAGAAGAAAGATACATTTTTGCCATTCATTAAAATGAGCCTGTAAAGTTTTTGAAGGGAAACAAACAAAAGAAAGAAAATTTAAAAAGGGAATATTAATAAAGGGAATTCTGGCTGAAATGTTTGAGAAGGCGAAGTAACATGAATGCTTCACTCAGGATAGATTTCTCAACATCATCAATTCTGCCTGGTGTATAATGTCCTCACACTATCTAAAAAGCATGCTCGGAAGTCACGCATCCTTCTCACGCAGAGTTTTACAAGAGATGAATAACCTAGCAGAAAACACCAAACTTTCCACAAGCATGCAATCACTAGAAGGAACTCAATCTCCAATCATACAAACCTTCACCAACTAATAATGGTTATCTAATTTGTGTATAGGAAATGCATGACAATGTCAAAAGACTGTATTGGTTGACAGTCCGTGACGAACAGGGAAACAAGAGAAATCACAATATACATTTCCCATGTAAAGCGCTAATAAAATAAATATGAAAGGCAGTTAAATGCATCGCTCTTATCATTTGAACTCCAGTTATTTCTTTGGAAACATAAGTATTTCGTAGCAAAATAGCTTCTAGAATACAGTGTCCATGGGAACACAAATAAATAGTTTATATTCTATGAAGCCAACATTGCTGTAAATTTACTAAACTGAGAGTTGTGAAAAAGTGACAAGTATATTTTCAGTGTTGCCATTTTGGTGAAATTGTACAATTCCTTTGTCAAATCACCACAATTTACAGTTCAAAGAATTAAACCCAAGGATTACAGCTCAAAGACAAATATGTTTGGAAGCTGCACAAAAGATTCAACAAAGGGGACTCAATACCTGTGGAGCTGTGATTTGCGCCAGTTGACTTTTTTAATTCCCAAATCAGCATACGAGTCAGAAAGCTCTTGCTCTGACGGGCTTGTGAAAACACCCAGGTTGGCTGCAGATTCATACATTGTAATTTGCTCTTTCAGTTCATTAATTTCATCCTGAAAAAAGAAAAAAAAAATTGATTTGATAATTTTAAAACAAAAAAGGAACACATGCATTTAAAGGCTACCTTAATATCATTAGGTGCAATGGCAAGGGGTAAGAACATGAGTCAAAAGAGGCTCATTGACTGAGATATACACTTCACAAAATCTAATAAGAGTCCATGACATTCAAATTGTTAAGTGGTATAAGAGGAATAGTCATACTGGAAATGATTGTGTAATAAAAAAAAAAAAATAAAAAAAATAAAAACACCAACAAAACCCAGAACAAAAAGACAAGCCATGTGATATTATCAAAGGTAGTCAGCCCCATGATTCAAATATTTGTGCTTGTGTTTATGAGTAGGAAATAATCACTAGTTCTATCCTGAAGGATGAGATTAATGAGATCATTGAAAGTCTGAAGACACCAAAAGTTGGCGCAGGTCATTTTGGGTACAGCATGGGTTTCTAAACTTGTGCTTCAGTTCTACATTAGTTTTTTTGTTTTTTTCTTAGGAAAGATGTAGGCTAAACTACAACTCCCAAAATATTTGCTGTACTTCCAAATGACAAGAACAACAACTTTATCAGAAAAAGAAAACAGATCACAAGAGAAGGACAGACTGGTGGGCTTTGCATAACAGCTACAATAACCACCGAAAATAATGCATTTTAGAATGGAGGAGGGAGGACAAAGGATGCTGAATTAGATGCAGAATACATTTATGGTTTTGCAAAAAGATACAAAACTGAACAGCACAAAAATCTAGTGAGTGGAGTGTCCCTTTAAATATAATAGCTACAATGCATGGCTGTATAAAAGCCATCACACTCACAGCTACTCCACATACTAATTGATGTGATGCAAATGAACAGAAGAGAGTAACAGCATGTAGGTTTGATAGTTTTTCCCTCTCTCATCTGGATGACTTGAATAATGGTGTTTGATGACCTTATTGTCTCTGGACTCTGCTTTTAAAGCATTAGGCATAAGGGGTTGTTTTTCAGGATTATAAAGCCACTTGTGTTAGCCTTTGTTCGTCAATAGTGATGTCGCGAACCGTTCGTGAACTTGCCGCGAACGGTTCGCCACAAATCATTCGCGGCGAACTCCGGTCAGCTGACACATCCCTGCCAATCTCCGGCAGACCCTCCCTCCCAGACCCTCCCACCTCCTGGACAGCATCCATGTTGAAGCTGCCTTCAAGTTCGCATGTTCGCGAACGGTTCGCGACATCACTATTCGGCAATATGATGTGCAAGCAAAATAGTATGATTAAATCACACTGGGCACATCAGATGCCATGATATTTTCAGGTCTGCAAATTGGGGATAAAATAAAAAAATGGAGCTCAACGGAAAAGCAAGAATGGGCAGACTAATGTGCAAATCTTTAAAAATATGATAAAAAGACTGACCTGCAAGGCTTTGTTCATGCCATCACTTATGATTTTAGAAGATTGGACTTGTTGAAGCTGCATCCGTAACTGTGTTGCTTCTTGTATGGACCCTAAGGAAATTTGAAAGCATACATTTAAAATACATAGTATTAATACAAAAATGTTCAAATATGAAATATTATTAAACCTCTGCAATTGCATTTTAGAGGAAAACTAGCATCCTTGTTTTACTACTTAAAATAGAAGATTACATGTATTAGATAAAACACTTTGTATCCATTTTTTAATGTATAAGTAATTGCCTGTATTCAGTGACTCTCCTGGCTTAACCATGCTGTATGGGGGCAGCCTTTTTTAAGTAGTTTTAAGTCAGAGGCACGATTTGTCAGACCAAAAATCCTTGCAAGTTATGAGAGCTAGTGAATGTTCCCAGATGTTCAAGCAGGTATTTCAGAAATGCAATATAGGAGGATTTCAAACCTTCAAATTGTGAAAATAGTGGTCTTAATACATTTACATACGTAAATACATTGTGCTATTGACCAAAGAGAGCAAAAATGGAATAAGAGCTGCACTGAAATGTTTTACAAAAAATATACACATGTCCTTTTAGTATAAATAAAAATAGATTTTTTTTTTCTTTTTAAAACAGTGTTCCTGCAGCTTTTCACAGTGGAGGGTAAAATAAAGTGTTCATGAATTATTATGGGTTCCCGATTTAACACAGAATGCCAAGCAGACAATGAAGGTGTAGATTACAGTGACTCAAACAAGCAGGAGGAAAATAAAAAAAAATGAATGACATGTATAGGCAGTTATTGCTTATGAAGACAAGTATCTTCTTTATAGTTATAATAAAGTTAAGAAAAAAACTCCACCATGCTACTTCATCAATGCATTTGGTACTCAGCGTGTTTTTCAGATGGAGTTCTGAGCGGATCTGTTCCCACTTCAGACTATATGGCTTTCTGCCCAGCTAAACGCTACAGTATGCATTCACTGTGCAATAAAAGAAAATAAGTAAACTATTATGGAGCTCTACAAGCCATGAGCAAAACCTCTTACCGGTCTGCAAAAGATCAGCACACTGCTTCTGACATTCCTCGAGACTCCTAGTCAGCCTGTTTATTATTTCAGTTTTGTCCACTTTGCTTTCTTCTTGTTTCCGTTCAGCTTGCGCTACCAGGTTCTGCAATCGGCAGCATTCTTCTTTCTGATATAAGGGAAAGCAAAGCCAATTAGGATAAACACTTTACTCAAACATTAGAAGTCATTAAAACATTGTTAAAGGGACACTATATTCACCAGAACAACTACAGCTTAATGTAGTTGTTTTGGTGAGTATAATAGCAACTGCCAGGCATTTTCATGTCAACACTGCTTTTTCACAGAAAAGACCGTGTTTACATCACCCCTAGGGACACCTCCAAGTGGCCACTTCTCCGATGGCCACTGGAGGTGCTTCCTGGCTCAGGGCTGAAACAGTAGGCAGACCTGCCATTCAGCGTCCCCACGCTCAGCATGGGGACACTGAATTTTCCTCATAGAGATGCACTGATTCAATGCATTTCTATGAGGAGGTGCTGATTGGCCAAAACTGTGTTTAGAACTTTTGATGAGGTCACCAAGGGGGCGGGGGCGGAGGCAGCACCATCCCCTTGGTGATCAAGGCCTTTTTGGCACTTTTGCCATGCATTAAAGGACCACTATAGTGCCAGGAAAACATACTCGTTTTCCTGGCACTATAGTGCCCTGAGGGTGCCCCCACCCTCAGGGACCCCCTCCCGCCCGGCTCTGGAAAGGGGTAAAACTTACCTTTTTCCACCGCTGGGCGGAGAGCTCTCCTCCTCCGATCCTCCTCTTCTCCTCCCGTCGGCTGTATGCGCACGCGCGGCAAGAGCTGTGCACGCATTCAGCCGGTCACATAGGAAAGCATTCATAATGCTTTCCTATGGACGCTGGCGTGCTCTCACTGTGAAAATCACAGTGAGAAGCACGCAAGCGCCTCTAGTGGCTGTCAATGAGACAGCCACTAGAGGATTAGGGGGAAGGCTTAACCCATTCATAAACATAGCAGTTTCTCTGAAACTGCTATGTTTATGAAAGAATGGGTTAACCCTAGCTGGACCTGGCACCCAGACCACTTCATTAAGCTGAAGTGGTCTGGGTGCCTAGAGTGGTCCTTTAAGCCTACCCTGGAGTGAATTACGGTTTTAAAAGTAAAACTAAAGCTCTGAAAAAGTTGGTATGCTGAGATTACAACTTTTATAAGCACAGAATCCCCCCCCCCCAAAAAAGGTATCCCACCTTTATATCTTGTCCTCTAATCTAGCCCTATGCATACCCGTAATACAATCCTTAATGTAACCATTGACCTCACCTATAACCCTACCCTAATCGAACTCCTAAACCCACCTCAGAGGGATTCCCTCTGCTGAAGTCAGAACCAACAACAGCAGAGACGCCCCTTTCCGAGCACTGTGTACTATGTGATTGCAGCATGACATCTCCCTCACATGCTGCAGCTCCTGAAACGGATTGGTGCTGAGCAGCAGGCAAAGCCAAGCATCTATCACTGGGTAGTGGGGCATGGTGGAAGGACCTCACCAAGATCTTTTCATACTAAGGGCAGACTCAGAATCACCGCTGCCGAGCTTGAACACTAAGTCGCAGCAATTTAAAAGGGCCATGTGCAGAGTCACGTCGAGCACTGCACATACCTCACCGGTCAGTCTGTCACTAATTAAGACTGTATCGGATGATACCTGAGGCTCAATGGTACTTGCACGGATTTAACCCTGCTGGAACCTCTAATGCATGACAATCTATGCCATCATGCAATGCAGGGCTGTAACGTCTTGCAGTCGTTAAGATATAACATGTTTAAAGACACACACATGTAATCTATTCTAAATGTTCAGAATATAAGGCTCAACGCACACTATCAGGTAACTATACGAGTAATTGCACTAACATGGAACTATATCAGAATGAAAAGAAAGTTAGTTTCCTACAGTCTTAGACATACTTGTTCCTGAAGCGCAGCATTAACTGCATCCATTTTTTGCTGCAATACAAACACTTGCTCTTCATGCTTCTTTGTAAGCACTGACACAACAGCTTCATGTTGCTCTCGTGCTCGTTGTATAGAATCAGAGCGGCACATGTCCATAACTTGCTGTTGCATGCTCTCCATTGCAACCTTGGCTACTTTTAATTCCTTTCTCAACTGAAATAAAAAAAAGTTACAAGTTACTACACAAGCATCCAACATGCCCGCATGTCTTCACTCTAGCATTATATACACACTCCTGCAGGTGGGCAGATTTTTATAGGAAATGTAATCAGTTGGGGTTACGTGTAAAGAGAAATTCTGGAGCAACTTTGGGAACATTGTGAGAATTCCATGGAAACCAATGGACTGCACTACTTTTGAATCAAGTGGGGCAAATATAGTCCACAGCTGTCAAAAACTGTTCATTCACCAATATTCTCATGAGGTTGATGAATGGGAACAATTAGCCATATAAACCATGCTGTAGGAATTTAATAAAGTTTAAATAAAGAGGTTTTACCAATTGTTACGGATACTTCATTATCAATAAAATATTCAAGTTAATGCAAAAAATGTGTGTCATAATGAACAAGACAGGGCTATTAACTAAAAGGATGAACAGCCGTAAATTGAAAGTTAATTTCAAAAAACTTAGACCATAGAAGCAAAACTGGAAACACGGGTGACTTGGGGAGCTTTTCCATTTGGGTTGCTATGACTTCAAATTGAAAAATGACTCTCAGGGTTATTCACGAACGTGAAATTTCTAAGTGAATATCAAATTTAGGCTGAAGCAACCACATAGAAAAACATAGAATGGATTTGGAGAATTTTATAATTTAGCTATTTGCTAGCCTAGCCAAGTAGCGAGTAAATCTGAAAACATTTATTTACAACAGCAATAATTTCTTGCCATGAAGAATAGATAAGTTTGATACACCCATATATATAAGCAAATACAGCCACCACTTACCTGCTCTTCATTAGAAGTTAATCCCTCCACAGTTTTCTCCAAAGCGGTCATCTGTCCTTTTAACTGAATCTCAATTTCCTTGGAGTTCTGAAGCAGTGCTTGAGATTCTTTCATGCTAATAGCCAAGCCATCTTTCTCATCTGAATTACAAATAAGAATCATACACAACTTTATTTTTAATCAAATAACTTGTAAAAAAACAGCTCAGATGGTCCTAGAAATGCTGTATAAAATTTTAAACAAAAAAAAAAAAAAACATCTTTACTTGTATGCAAACTGGAAAAAAATAAATGCAAGGATTGTTTGTGCTATTAAAGGGATCCTATTGTGCCAGGAGAAAACAAAGCCGTTTTCCTGGCTCTATAGGGTTATTAGGTCCCACCCTCCCTCGGGGCCCCCATTCAGCCACTTACCTGAACCCAGCGCTGATGTCCCTCAGTGCTGGGTCAGGCTCCACCGTCCCTCGGCATTGGGTCAGGCTCTGCCCATGCTCCTCCCCCGCCGTCTGCCGTGGGGGGGGGGGGAGGGGGAGACCTAATTTCCTATGGGGAAAATCAGACGCTGAAGGTCCATGAGGACGTCCAGCGTCAGATAACGGACCAAAAATCCGTTTGGAATCCTGGAAGCCCTCTAGTGGCTGTCTGGTAGACAGCCAAAGAGGGCAGACACTTAGAGCTGCAATGGAAACAGCCACTGTTTCAACAAAGGGTCAAGCATTCAGACAACTTCAATTAGCTGAAGTGGTCTGGGTGCCTACAGTGTCCCTCTAAACTTGTAAAAGTAATTTTTTTAATCTTCTCTCGAAGTAACCCTTGACATTGTGATTTTTTTTTTTGATTTTTTTTTTTTACACGGAAATCTTGAGAAATCGCTTGCCCATGTACAAAGGAACACGAAAAGGAATATATACATGTATTCCAAATACTGGAGTGACCTAGGGGCTATTTAGATTTGTGGATCCACACAAAATACAATAAAGTGATATTATTCACTTTCTATCCCCGTGCCCAGTTCCCACTGAGGCTGCCGCTCCTCCCCTAGCTGAAATCATCATTACTGATGATCTCTTCCAATACAATGCTTGACCATAGGAAGGAGCTAGTGCGCATGTGCTGTAATTGTTGCACCAATCTACATCTCCTGAGTCAAAGAGATGCAGTGACTCAATTGATATCGTAGGGAAGCATTCGGCCTTTCCATGCAGGGCGTGAAGATTACAGGACCACATCAGGAAGCCCCTCTACTGGATGTCTGAGTGATAGCAATTACAGGTGGCATTGCCTTTTCTCAGTGCTCGGTACTTTGCTGGTGCTTAGAATATCAATTTAAATAAAGAAACTGTTATTAAAACCTCATTGTTGTGCATACATTATTAGGGCACCAGCACAGGAGATGATATACCTTTGACTATTGCAAGCTGATGATTGAGAAATCTCATTTGCTGATGACTTTCTTCTAACTTCTCATTTAGTTCTTGAAGCTGTCTCCCTCTTGCTTTGTAAAGTACTTGAAGCTGTACATACTGCATATTACTTGTAGAACCTGATAGAAAGATAGAATGTTTGACATTTTTTAAACTGTGTTGCTTTATCAATGCATTTACTACTTACTGAGAGAATGTATGAACCACTTACTTTCACCAGTATCCAAGAACTCTCTTTGAAGATCATCAAATTTGTCACCACATCTTGCCGGATCCTGAGACGTCAAATCTTTCTGTGCCGCATTTATTTGGTATGGGTGGTACTTTACTTGAATGGACTCTGTGGGCTGGCTGTTCGTTACTTCTGATGGAATGAATCTCTGCAAATAAAGTGCCACATGGTTGAGCAAGGCTCCAGGGACTTCACCACACTGCTCACTCAGACTCAAAGAGTTTCATTAAAAATAAAATCTCACGTATAAGAAATATTGTATAGGATTTAACATTTTTCTTGTTTAGGTTTTCTTTTTATGCGCAAACATTCACATTATTGTTAAAAACACTGTAGATGTAAAACACATTTGGTGTTAAAAACTTGAATTCAAAGTGAAAAAAATCCAATAATTTGGATAAAATACTATTGCAGCCTCAATGCAGTAACACAAATGTATGTCTTTGTGGGTACATGCAGCTTTACAAGATACACCGATCAGCCACAACATCAAAAACACTGACAGGAGGAGTGAGTTACATGAACTATATTGTTACATTGGCACCTGTCAATCGGTGTCATATATTAGACAACAAGTGAACAGTCAGTTCTTGAATTTCATTTGCTGAAGGCAGGACAAATAGGCAAGCAAAAAGATCTGAGTGACTTTCACCAAATAGTGATGGTTAAACAACTAGGTCAGAGCATCTCCAAAACGGCAAGTCTTGTGGGGTGTTCCTGGTGTGCAGTGGTGGTCATTTATTGGCTGATAGCTTCAGAGGAGTGCTCTCGGCCAATGAATGAACGAACTTTTGTTCAGGGAACATGCACAGAATTGACCTCAGCCAGCCGACTAATGATGCTGCCAGAGCTGTACTTACACCTGTGGCAGCTATTCTAACTATAATGGATGTTTGCAGCATTTCTTATTAAAAAACACTGAATACAGACTCCAAGAACCATGACCACTTAAATTCCCCGAAGTAACCATTTAAGCCTAACAGCCCGAAATTGAAACCAAGGAAATTAATTGGTATAAAATATTTCCTTACAATTGGTAGAACACAGGACAAGAACAAGTTATGCATTACTAGTATCTTCCCCCACGAACCTCAAAACATGTTTGTCCTATTTGTTATTATCTTCTACAAGTAAAAATTGTAAGGGTCAATTGTGGCTTAACTGGTGGTAAAGTTTTATAGTATATTGAATAACTCCCAATAAGGGAGTAAATATGCAACTACTATGTGTGCCCCAGAATATACCTAAAAGATATACAATGCATTCGTCTTGGTAAAATACTTAATAAATCACTTTATTTTGCCTGTTACACTACAAACCTGAAAATGTTCTTTTTGGGGACCTGGAAAACCTTCTTCTTGATGATGGCTTTTGGTGTATGGCTGAAAATCCTCTGGAAGGTGATATAAATCACTATTTGAACAAGGGTCTCCTGCATCATAATGGTTGTTATCATGAAAGTCTTCCACGTTAGATTCATCATTAGCATGCATTTCAGGATAATTGTACTTGGCATGAAACACATTCCTTTCATCATCACTGTGGAGGGCAGGCCATCCATTGGACATCTTCTCTGCAACCATATTGTTTCTAAGATGTTCTTGTTTTCCAAAATAATCCGTGGAATATTGGTTACCTGCATAATGCTGATAGAAATAAAAATTTTAAAAATAAAAATACCAAATTTGCCATGAAAAACAAACCTTAGGTTCTCAGGATCACTTTAATGTTTGACACTTACAGGCAGTTGTTGTTGTTGATTTGTTATTCCTCTTGCAGAGTCCCAGCTTGTCTCATGCTCCCAATGTTGATTTCTACAATAAAAAAATAAAAAAAAATTTATATATATAAAATGATACATGCAAAATAAGTATAAAAAGATGTTATATTTCGTTATCAAGCATAAAAGCTGATGTAATGGACAAAATACATTTTTACTATGTGACAGATCAGCAGCGTTCTCCATATAATTTTCCTTTATGGTGCAGGTTAATAATCTATTAGTTTGTTTACGCACTCTGTTAACGCCCACCTATATCAAGTTCTCCTTCCAGTCAAGTCTCCTCTATTCTCCTAAAATCTATTTTAAACATACACAAACTAGCATTAAAAGTTCTGTCTCAATATAAAATATGAATGTCTCTATATACACTTTTAATTACAATGGTGGTTACAGCCTGGTGCCTTCCAGTCTGAGTACCTCCCGTAAAGGGCCAACTGCTCAGCTGCCATCCAATTAACCGACCTGCCTTCTTTCCATATGTATAAATACATGGCTGCCACCTGAGATAAGCCTGCCTTGGGAATAGCGTTGCTCAGATTGTCATGCTGTCAAGAGTGTATAGCTGGCATTACAATGGAGTTAAATAGGCGAGAAATGGTAATCAGAGTACACTGCATTGCAGCATGTTTTCATTGACAAACTGTTTTATTGTACAGTGTGTAAATAGTAAATTATAGGGGGGATATGGGGGTAGGGGGAATAAATAAATAACCCGAGATGGAATTCTTACTGTTCAGATATTTCATGGCCACTGCAATCGCTGTAGTTAGGCTCCGGAGACGACGACAGGCTGTCATCAAGAAGATCATGGGGAAGATCAGTTAGCAACTGTTGAAGCTGTTTTAAGGGTAATAGAACATTTAGTAAGGTTTTAGAGCAGTCCAAAGTACTGACAGGTACAGCGTACAGTCCACACTCATTTTCTGATGAGAAATGGAAAAATAGAGAAGCTTCTATAGCTCCAATAAGTAAGATACAGCAATTTAGAAACACTTTCTTAATCTTGTTCAGTCATGACAATACTCTACTGACCCATGTGCCACCATTTCAATAGGGCAGATAATTTTAAAAGGAACCATTTTCCAAATAAATACAAGTTATAAGCTACTTCCCAGGTTTGTCACCACAAATGTTCTGTAGCCCAATGCTTATTCATTGTTTTAATGAAAAGCAAAACATATCTCTACAAAAAAAAAAAAATTATATTTTTTTTTTTTTAAATGCCATGCTGCAGGTACTTAATATAAGTGCAACCCACATAGGAAATTTAAATAGTGAGCCTGTGTATTAATATATAAAATAATAAGCCAGCTGAATCTGCAATCTAAGTAACACAAGTTTACAATAATAATATTAAGCAGCAGATGGTATCTGTAAATTAATCCCCTGTGTGGTTTTGGAGAAAGGGGAGAGCACACATCACAGCGATATATGACACTCCCTTCCTTTACGAATTTCTAATCCCTAAGCTACTATTGACTCTTTGTGAAAACATCAGAGACCATAAGATGTAAAGATCATATTAACAATTTAATTCTTTACCACATGCTCACCTCTTGCTCTCTGGCGTAATCCTCTCTATCGTATTCATCTTCATCATCCTGCTGTGTTTGCAGAGCTCCGCTATCAAAGTCCATAGACATTATTCCAAATCTTTATGGGCAACTTCTGAAACAGAAATAAATACCCAACACATTATAAAATATTGGTTGTTATTTTAATGGAGTAGGTAGCAAGTGGTAGGAAAAAAAAAAAAAGACAAGAAATCAAGACATTATTGCAAAGATCTTTTCGATGCCGGCATTAATAACTTAAGCTTGAGAATAATTAAGAAAACTATGGAACTCACCAAAAGAAGAATCATGTGTGTAAATTTTGGTGTGTAATTTCAGCATTCCTTTCAGAATGGTTTGAGATTATATTGTCTAAACATAGTCACTATATATTGTATAACATTTAGTTCCGAGATGTAAAGGAATGGTCTTTAGTCTTTGCCACGAGAGAAAAAAAAAAAAAAAATGGATGTAGAAGGGGTTTGTGGCCATGTCCGTTAAAGGACCACTATAGTGCCAGGAAAACATACTCTTAGGGTCCCCCTCCCGCCCGGCTCTGGAAGGGGGAAAGGGGTAAAAACTTACCTTTTTCCAGCGCTGGGCGGAGAGCTCTCCTCCTCCGTTCCGACCCATCGGCTGAATGTGCACGCGCGGCAAGAGCTGCGCGCGCATTCAGCCTGTCGCATAGGAAAGCATTTACAATGCTTTCCTATGGACGCTGGCGTGCTCTCACTGTGAAAATCACAGTGAGAAGCACGTAAGCGCCTCTAGTGGCTGTCAATGAGACAGCCACTAGAGGCTTTGGGGGAAGGCTTAACCCATTAATAAACATAGCAGTTTCTCTGAAACTGCTATGTTTATTAAAAAAATGGGTTAACCCTAGAAGGACCTGGCATCCAGACCACTTCATTAAGCTGAAGTGGTCTGGGTGCCTAGAGTGGTCCTTTAAAAAAAAATGTTTTGCCACAAAACTACACAAGGGCTCCAGTCGCTGTACCACCACCATATGCACAAAGTAGCGTCTGGAGGACTGTTTTTATCCTCCATGTCATCATCTAATTGTATTTTACCCATCTTATATTTAAAGGACCATACTTGTTTTCCTGGCTCTATAGGGTCCTTGGGTCCCCCTCACCCTCTGGGCCCCCCTCCCGCCAGGCTCTAGGGTGAGGAAGGTGTTAATCCCTTACCTTTTTTCCAGTCTCTCCTCCTCCGTTCCCGTCATCGGTTGAATGCGCATGCGCGGCATGAGCTGCGCGCACATTCAGCCAGTCTCATAGGAAAGCATTCTAAACATAGCAGTTTCTCTGAAACTGCTATGTTTACAGCAGAAAGGGTTAATCCTAGAGGGACCTGGCACCCAGAACACTTAATTAAGCTGAAGTGGCCTGGGTGTCTATAGTGGTCCTTTAATATTATTTATACTCTAGTATGACTGCTAATGGTTTTAGCAATACTTAAGTTTCACATATTGCTATTGCTTCACCGTTAGTATTCTCCTATATTCTTTTGGTAAAACCAGCCTTACTATATATTGGGATTGCTTATTTAATGGTTTTACCTATGTGTATACCGCCTATGACTTTTCTATGTCATTTCCGCCCATTCTCCCCTCTTCTTTTATTGATACCCAAATGCTTCTATTTGCTTGACTAACTCTTGCCTCATCTGTGCATTGATCATCCACTCTGAAGCCTTCATTGCAAAACTTTTCTAGCAGCCTACATTTCCATTACATGAAATACATCTTATCCTTACCTCTTGTGTCACTTTACCCAACTCCCATTAAAATGTAAGTATTTTTGTGCAGGGTTCTCAGCACTACATTTCGGTACGTCCAACTTGTCTTGCCGCAGCTGTTTGTTAATCCGAACAGGGCTGCGGACTTTGTTGGCATTTTATAAATACAATAAGGATATCTATATAATTGCAATTACGCCAGATCCATTATGTTTTCTAGGACACACAACACTTCTATATGTTGATGTACAGATCAGAAACAAAAAAGTGACATTGTAGCATTCATACGCCGCAGTAAGAAAATTACACGTTAAGAGATATCGCAAAGGAATTACATTGATTCGCTGATGGATTCCCTTCTATGGTATATGTACAGTGCTGCTGAAAAGGATTGCCAGGCCCACATGTAAACACTTTCAAATGTTAAACCTTGCAGTATATCGAATTCATATGCTACAAGCAAGAAATCAACCTTCTAAATCACTGATGACCCCCATGGCATGGGAATTATACACAATGCAGGGCAGCTCTTTTCATGTGCAGCCCAGTAACATGAAATGATGTGTGCCCAATAAAAACAGGGTGCATGTGGCAAGCACCATAATCTTACAGGGCAGCACTTTTCATGCACTGCCCATCAGCAGCCCAGTGACAGTGTATGAGTCCAGGATACCATGGCAGAGCTGGCAGTGCTTGTTATATGTGATCCCCATAGCAGGGATTCTATATCAGCTTTGATCCTATTCCTTACCTACACCTATTGCCGTTTCATGAGCTCCCAGCCCCGGCCAGCTGCCTCGGTCCCGGCGCAGCCAGTCTATCAACAATCCACTTCCCTCTCAACAGTCAAAATCGGTACCTGCTCTCTGATTGGCCGGCCAGGAGGAGGACTGATAGGAAGCGCAGCCAATCCAAACTAGACGCACACGGTGGCCTGTGTTCCTATTGGTCGGGGGGGGCGTGGATAAGGAACTACTTTGACGTTCGATTGTAAGGGCTCCGGAAATGAAGTTGCGCAGAGCAGCTAACAGTCTCTAGTGATTGTTGGAGTGGGCGGGGCAGTGGCGCGAGAGGCGGCGGGAAGGTCGCAGAGGGGGTAGAAGTCCTGTTAGGAGGGAGCTGGAGCCCGGCTGTCATTACGCTGAACGCCTGCAGGCGGCGTTTTTTTTTGTTTTTTTGCTGCTATGAGCTTTACCCTGGTGATCAGTGTGTTGCATTTCGGGAAATGTAGTCCTGAACTTCCTTTTTTCTGTAAGGTAGTTATTAGTGGGCTGTATTTCAAAGCTAATTGTAAAATCATTTCTAAGCTATTCTTCCCAACTAGTACATGGATAACTGTGACATTTGTAATATTGTTTTGTACACAAAGTGTTGTAAGAAAACTTAATTTATTTATAAAATATTTTACCAGGTTTCTCTCGTTTTCAAGTATTGTTACAATAGGGTACAGACAGGATAATATTAAAGGGACACTATAGTCACCCAGACCACTTCAGCTCAATGAAGTGGTCTGGGTGCCAGGTCCCTCAGGTTTTAACTCTTCAGATGTTAACATAGCAGTTTCACAGAAACTGCTATGTTTATTTAGCAGGGTTAATCCAACCTCTAGTTGCTGTCTTCCTGACAGCCGCTAGAGGCGCATCTGTGACGCTGGATGCAAAATTTTCATCCAATGTGCAGAACGTCTATAGGAAATCATTGAGAAATGCTTTCCTATGGACTGTTTGAATGCGCCCGCGTCCCTTGCCGTGCGTGCACATTCCGCTCCACTCGGGAGCTGACGTCGGGAGTGGAGAGGTCACCAGCCCGGAGCCCAGTGCATGCGCATGCGCATTCCGCTCCACTTGGGAGCTGATGTCGGGGGAGGAGAGGTCACCAGTTCAGAGCCCGGAGCCCCGCGCTGGATTAAAGTAAGTAACTGAAGGGGTTATAACCCCTTCACCGCAAATGGTGGGGCGACCTAAGGGTTATATATAGTCAGGAAAACGAGTGTGTTTTCCTGACACAATAGTGATCCTTTAAAAATGCAAAATAATATTAAAATATATGTAGATCAATTTAACACAGAATATGTAGGAAATATAAACAACCATGATTACAGGTGCATTCTGTATTGAGATATGTTGCCAGGGATCTCTTAAAGGATTTTAGATTGGATGAAGATTTGATTGAGTCCGTGAGATTATTCCATAATTGCGGTGCTCTGTAGGAAAATAAGGATCAAGCCACTTTATTTTTGTATTGTGGTATACTAAATAAAGTGCATGTACTGAGCGGTGGGTGGGTGGGTGCCCTAAATACTAATAAGAGGCGGACCTAATGTCCTCCCCCCTGGCCCCCACCCCTGGCTGATCTACCTACCTCAAATCCTCATAGATTGTAAACTCCATTATTATCCCCATTCTAAAATTGTAACTCACTGTAGAAAATGTTGGTGCTGTTATAGTAACATTAATATTTATTTATAGAATTGATGGCTATTGGGTGATATGGAAATGCACTTTTCACTACAAACTCAGTCGTTGCCTACAATGTTGCAGGGGTTGCAGTGGGTGAGTGTACAGTGCCCCCACTAATATTGGCACCCTTGGTAAATATGAGCAAAGAAGGCTGTGACAATGTGCATTTAATAAATACCTCTACCTGTCTTATTGGAGATTCTTGGCTGATATAAACAAATCTAATGGCTAGTGTAGGACTCACCTTTTGGGGCTTGCCTTGACGTGGCAGGAGAGCTTATATTCAAATGGACATTGGAATGAAACGAAAGAGCCTCCATTTTGTTTACATTTACATAGGGATTTAGGCCAGAGCTGAGGTAACTAGGCATGTGCATGGGGAAAAGTTTCGGTTCGGTTCGGCATTCCGAAATTCGGGACTTTCGCAATTCGGGACTTCAGCACTTCGGAAATTCGGCAACTTCAGCACTTCGACACTTCTGAATTACGGAACTTCGGAATTTCAGGACTTCGGCACTTCGGGACTTCTCTTGCAGCCGCTTAGTAGATAACTCCCTAATTCCCACGGTATTAGGGTGTTATCTACCAAAAGGCTGAAAGACCTAAATTTGTCTTTCAGCCAAATTTAGTAAATTTTGCCCCTACTCGCTATACTGCGAGTAGGGGCATGTCTAATAAACAGCCTATGGCTGCTCACTGTTAAAAAAAAAATAGGGCCCCCCTCCCTAAAGTAAAATGATTGGGGGGGGGGACCTATTGTCCTCCCCCCCGGCCCCCACCCATGAGCGGTGGGTGGGTGCCCTAAATACTAATAATGTCCTCCCCCTGGCCCCCACCCCTGAGCGGCGGGTGGGGGCCCTACAGTAAAATAAGGGGGGACCTAATGTCCTC